CAAAATAAGAATTTCCTATTTTCACTAAAATACTCTATAATAAAAAATATATTGAAATTTAAAGAATAATATTTTTCCCAAAATATTCATTATTCAACCCCATAGAATGCAATTCTAGAACACACGCTTTCAACACGAACTTACAAAATGACTCGATACTTCGTGTCCCGTGCTTCTTTCCCAACACTTACGCCACAGTTATCCAATTAACGTAGCGAGGAGAAAATTCCAAATCTAGATCACGTTATCACACCCTCACTTTCCATCCCCAGCTCGCTACGCTCAGATCGCGTGAGCAGGAGACGAAGCGCGTTGCCCTTATAACAAACGTGACTAACTAAGCGCAAAAGTGCGCGGCGTCCACGGAAGCTTATTACTCGATGTTTACAACCGCGAAGAAACTTGGTCGGCGTACATAACGGCGGAGCACACTTTACGAACTCAGACATAGAAGTTCCACCGCAGAACTTTCCCGGCCATACACCGAATGATTTCAAACGAGGCCTAACGACCTCCCGATCTTATAATTAACCCATTTCGCCGTGGAGCTTTAATTTTCGCTCGCCGACTCAGATTCACAAGTTGCCATTCTGTAACACCGGCGTCGCTAAACTGTTACTGTCGCGAAAGTTTTATCCGTTTGTGTTGACGAAACGGTTCTACCGTGTCGAATCGTAAATTATCGTGTACACAACGAATTACTGAGATTTAAGAGCTATATTTTACGCGATTTCAAGATTTAACAGATATATTTTACGCGATTTTAAGATTTAACTGTTGCATTTTTCACGCGGGGAAAATGTTTTTCGTTTAAATTGCAAGTGAACGAAAGAATCGTACGAGGTTTGATAAAAAAAAGAAAAAAAAGAAAAATACTCAGACTACTATCGTACAACTTTGTTGATAAAAAATGTACAGTTTTGCATTTCGACAGAGAGTTTTCGATGGTACTTTTGAAAATTGCTTTCGAATTTGCCTTTGTCTCTAGAATGGTTTGAAAAGCGCGTCGTTTTAACGAACTCTTCAGTTTCAAAAGCGGAAAATAAGTCGCACAAAGCTAAGTGAAGTGAGCATGGTAGGAATAAAGATGACTTTTGATTAAAAATTTGAAACTGTACTTCAACGGAGGTGTATTTAAAAAATCGCACAGGTGAAGAAAATGGAATTTAAAAAAAGCACTGTAAATCTCGGGAAGGATATAAACTCAACGTCAGTTAAATCGCCAATGGTAACCCATCATATTGTGTCATCAGTTTTTCTCTTCACTTGCGAGATATTGAGTTGCAAACACAGTCGGGGTATTTTTTTGATCAAACCTCGTATGCATAGGGATTCGTGTATATGTATAGCAGCGAAGTGAAAAGAAATATTGGCATACGTGAAATTGGCTAAACGTTTCGACGAATCAACTGTATTACGTGTAGACGTAAATAGAATATAAAAGACAACAATTTTTAATATACAATAAGCAACGAAAATATAAAAACACTGAGATATATTGAAGTTTATTGCTTTATATCAATTATTCATGCGCAATGCAAATAATCTTCTTTTTACTACAGATCATTCTGTGGCTACCTTAGTATCTCAGAAAATTTGAGGTTATGTTTATTCGAAAGGTTAGCTTAATATCTCAGAAAATTTCAGGTTAGGTTAAATCAATACTATTCATATATTCGATAACTGAAATAAATGATTTATCACAAATAAAGGGCAATTGGTTTCCTTGATATTTCAGAAAATGGCTACCTTAGTATCTCAGAAAATTTGAGGTTATGTTTATTCGAAAGGTTAGCTTAATATCTCAGAAAATTTCAGGTTAGGTTAAATCAATACTATTCATATATTCGATAACTGAAATAAATGATTTATCACAAATAAAGGGCAATTGGTTTCCTTGATATTTCAGAAAATGGCTACCTTAGTATCTCAGAAAATTTGAGGTTATGTTTATTCGAAAGGTTAGCTTAATATCTCAGAAAATTTCAGGTTAGGTTAAATCAATACTATTCATATATTCGATAACTGAAATAAATGATTTATCACAAATAAAGGGCAATTGGTTTCCTTGATATTTCAGAAAATGGCTACCTCGATATCTCCGAAAATTTGGGGTTATGTTTATTGAAAAGGTTACCTTAATAAGTGAGAAAATTTAGGATTAGGTTAAATAAATATCATCCATATATTTGATAACTAAAATAAATGATATATCACAAATGAAGCTCAATTGGTTACCTTGATATTTCAGAAAATGGCTACCTCGATATCTCAAAATATTTGAGGTTATGTATATTCAAAAGGTCATCTCCAAAAATTTGAGACATAAAAAATGTATCTATTCAATATTCAATGCATTTGATACAAACAATTGTTTTAACAAAATCAATAAATAACCAATTATTTCAAGCAACAGCTCTCATTAACTCACCCTGTACACAAACGTCAGCCCAATATTCGCACCCTAAGGAATCACGAGACCAGTGTTACTGTAAAAGGGACACGAAATTTCCTGAGGGCATTTAACATCGTGAACTTTGACAGACAGGATATGTATCGATGCTCACGAGAAGAAACAAAAATCGTTGTTTAAATAGATCAACAATGCTATAGTATGTCAATGTTTACCGCGTTATATTAAATTGTCTTGCATGATTTATACGCTGAAGTATTGACATATCAATCTGGGTTGCTTGTTCGCATTCGGATACAACACAGGATCATCCGTGAGATGTATATTCATTGGCAAATTGAAGCAGTCGCTCTACCCGTTTGGTTTTCGAACATCTAGTTAATAATACGTAAGCAATTATGCCTTTGTTGTTTATTAATGCCCATCGTGTTACAATATAGCGATTATGACGGTGATGCTTTATATTTCGACGTGTGGCTGTTCATTAGCGAACGTCAATATTTATTAAGCGCACCAGGTGGATAGCAATGCCGTGTAGGCAATCGTAAACATCACGAAGTGATCAAATAATGTGTAAATACGGCTAATAAGAGTCCGCAATGAAGCAATATTACCGTAAGCTGTCAGTCTGACTGAAACCGAATAAAACTACTTGCTCGTTGAAAAAAAAATCCTTCCCTTATTTTCATTTACCTGTGTAATTTTCATACTTTTCGGGGAGCATTGTACATGTTAACCCTTTGAGTGCTCACTAAAATGTGGGAAAAAGGTGGAAACTCTTTTTATGAATTAAATTACTTGTAAATAACGTGGAAATATTTTTTCATTTTTCTTTATTTAATAATTTCAACTACGAATCCGTTCATTTCCTGACATTTACGATATTACATCCTGTCTGCACCTCTTGCAAAATTATATTAATAACAGAAATTCATTTTAATTTTAATTTTTAATTTAAAAAAAAAACTGAAAATTATCAAATGCAATTAATCTGTGATACATTAGCTTCTCTTATCTAATACAGCATTGAAACAGTAAATAACTGAAGATTAGATGTATAGTCAGCAGAAGAAATGATAAGTTAAGACGTTGAATCAACTCATTCCCAAAAAATAACTTTCTTTGTACAAATTGGA